ACCACTCATGGTTGGGGGCTGCCCTCCCGCTGAACCTAGGCAGGTGGTTAGGAGCCTTCCTCAGCAGCAGGCAGGAGCTGCTCCTGCAAGCAAGGGCATCTGAGGTGGGTGGAGACTCCTGCCTGTGCTCCTCTCAGGGGCAGAGGCAGGGGTAGGGAAGCGAGGCTGGAATTCAGTGACCCAGGATAAAGCTCAGTGTTCACCGTGGCCATGGGATATTTTACTTCTCCTGAGGTTAGACCAAATCCCCCTGGGCTTAGGTCTAGGGACATAATTTACCAGATTGCTGTTTCCAGCAGTGGCTGTACAGGAGGGGAAAGCCCTGGGTTTCGGTGTCACAGACTCTACCTGAGGGAGCCTCATAACCTTGACCAGGTGTCCGTGCTCCTCTGTGCCTGTGTTTCCCTCTGGGAAATGGGTTGTGGTAAAGAGTAAGGGAACAGTGCATGGAAAGCCCTTAGTACACAGAATGCAGCCAGGAACCCAGATGCGCCAAATGCTGCTTGGCTTTGGGCATAATGCCCTGAAGTTCCTCCAGCTGCCCATTGATAGGACTGAGCATGCTCAGTGTCTGAGGCAGTGCCTGTAAGCTGACAGGCCTGTGCTGCCACTTGCTATCCCGAATGAGTACCTGGAGGACCTGAGGGAGCTCAACAAGGCCCTGAGCCAAGCAGTGCAGGTTGCCGAGAGCATCAGTTCTACCACAAAGATGAGCCTCTCCCTGTGTGCACACCTGTGGCACCCCCGCAGCCTGCAGGGCTCCTGCCTCTTCCGATCCATAGACTCAGAGTGGGCAGCCTCAGTTGGCGGCCAGAACCCAGGTGACAGGCAGGCGGGCAGGCTAGCAAGAGGGCACCCCTCAAGCTGTTGCCCAGGCCGGGCGCTGGCCGCAGCCTCTCCTAAAAGCCCCCACAGGACCCTCATGGGAAGAGGGTGTCCTGCCTGGTTTCGACTTTCTTAATGGAGGGACATCTAGTTATCAAGGGAAGTCACTTCCCAGGGACAGCGCCTGGAGGGGGTGCTGGGACGGAGGCGCCTTTGGTCCAGACACAGTGTCTGGGAGGCTTTTCTAGACCTCTTGTACAGCCCACCTCCTGCTAATAATGTGTATTTTATGTCCAGATGGACAGATTTTTTTTTTTTAAGCAGGTTTTCCTGGTCTGGGAGCCTCCTCAGGAGGCCAGAAAGAAGGGAAAGAACAGGGTCTCTGGCACAAAGCGAACCCCTGCCTATGACCAGCCACTCCAGGGTTCGCGTCTCTGTGGTGGGAACGTTCTCCTGGAGCCTGCTGGTCTGTAGGCCGTTGTTGTTAGGGGGAAAGGGTGCCCTGAGCAAACTCCGTACAGGCTTTGTGGACTCCACCCGCGCTCCATCCAGACACTGCGAACTACACATCCCCTGATCTCAGAAGGGAGGGTTGGGAGGACCTGAGGGCGGAGTGAAGCAACTAGATTAACTGGCCATGTGGCCGGGGCTCGCCCTCTTAGCCACGCCACGTGCTAGCTTGTCCCCAGCTCGGCGGGTCATTGAGATTCCAGGTCAGTGGAACGGGTAGGACGCATTTACGAACTTATCTCCCTCTTTTTATACCTGAGTTACTCATTTCCCCATTTCTCCTTCCCTTGTAAATAAACCTTTTATCAACCTTTTGTGTGTGTCTGCAGTTTGGCATTATAAGCCCCCTTTAACGGCGCGGGTGAGTGTAGGGTCAAGAAAATATCAGGCTTTTCTGCCCTTCCGCCATCAGGATAGATGAGGGATCCTGGTCCTGAATGCATGCCTGATGGCGGGCACCTGGAGTAGGATGTGGGCATAGGTAGATGGGATTCACCTTGGCTAAGACTGGGCTTATAACGGCGGCATCATGGGGATGCGAGAAGAACCACGAGAGCAGCAGGGAACAAGGCCACCAGAGAACGCCAGAGAGCCCAGGAAGAGTTCAGACTTGCTGGGAGCGAGAGGCCTGCCAGCCTCCTGGCCCTCCAGCACCCTACCTGCTGTGTACCTGGTAAATGCCAAAAAAGCCTGAAAGCCACGGAGAGCTCCAGGACTCCTCCTTTACCCTGTCGGCTGGGATCATAGAGATCCTGCCCTGTGGCCATTCCTGCCGCTACAATCAGTGATGTCTGTATATTTGAAGCATTTAAAGTTCTATTTTCACTATGAGGGCAAATGAAGGAAGGTGAATGTTGATCTGAAATGAAAAGCTACAAAAAATCATTCCCGAAGCCGTGTGCACCTGTGGCATGTGTCAAGGATTTGGTTTCTAAATCACCTGTCAGGTAGAAGGTGGATGTAGAGCCAAGCCCTCTCCTGGGGGAGCACATGGGGGCACTTTTCCAGACCCAGCCTGCCCCCCTCTGCTGGCTTCATTCTCCAGCATCTTTCTCCTGCCTATCTCAGAACTTAACCCTTTGCACTGAGTTGCTGCCTGCGCCCCTTTGTGTTGAGGCCAGAGACATGAGAAACAGCAAGTGGGTGTTTGCAGAACTGCAAGGCTGGACTCCCTAGGTCTCCTTTTCAGCAAACAGTTGCCTTTACCGGGCACTAGACCCCATGTGCTCCCCACAGCCCACACCTTAGTCCTGTGGGTATGGGTCTTATTGACAGGAATGTCTTCCAGAACTCCCCATGGCATCTCAACCGTCCAGTTTTTTTCAAAGATTTATGCATACAAGAACTGGGGTACAGGCCAAAGGTTTGGGGCTTGAGAGGATTCACCAAGGAAGCCTGGCAGCCCATCTTCTTGTTCCAGGTTTCTCTTCCTAAACCTCCAGGAAGATTTTTCTCGCTCACTTTTTTCTTTTGTTCCCTTCCTAAGCTTCCATGACGTTTTTTTCCCAAACTCCTTTTTCTTTGTTTCTCTTCCCAAACCTCCATGACGTTTTTCACCCCAACTTGAATCTTCCATGTGCTCTTCTTCTAATATGCCCGCTCACTTTGCCCAGGCCCCCAGGACACTTTTCAGCTGGTATTTCTCGGTGTTGCAAAGGGCAGCTGCTAAAGTAACCCTGAGGGAGGATGATTCCTGGTAGGAAACTCCTGGTGCAGCCCCTTCTCTGGGAGTGAGAGGCTCAGCTCAGATTCTGGGGGTGTCAGGATGGGGAACTGAGATGAGGCCCAGCATGGCCCCAGCTTCAGGAAGGAGACCCCATGCCTTGGTGGGGTAGATTCATTGCTGATTCAGCAGATGAAAAGAGAATTTTGGAGCCCTCGGTAGATTTGACAGGCCCTTAACGCTGAAGCAAGGAACCAGAGAGGTAGGCAGAGAGGTAGCAACTGAGCCCCTGCTAAATCTCCCCTTTTATCCCTCACCCTCTTTGCCCAGGTGTCCGATTATACATATGTACACACCCCGTGCCCTCTGCTGCTCAGCCTGTCCTGGGTGTGGGTAACCATAGGGGCACGTGCCTCTGCTCGTGCTCCAAGTGCTTTTTGCATTAACAGGGTTTCACGTGCAGGTCATGCGACATTGGAGGAAAACAAGGCCACAGGTGGCAGCTGTAGAGGCTACTGGGAGATGAAAAACCTCCTGAGTACCTTATATCCTTACCCCTGCACAGTCACCCACTTTGAGCAAAGTGTGCTGGGGTTGGGTCTGGGCAGTCTGGCCCTTAGAGGGGAGACACAGGGTGCTGACGTGAGTCACGGGACTGGGCACTGGTGCCGGTCATCGTCCTGTCGCTCTGGGTGGCTCAGGCCGCTCACGTGTCGAACTGCCCAAGTATCAACATTCACTTAATGTGTTTGTTCTCACCTCAGTGGTGCTGAAACCCTCACACAGCCACAAATCCCAAAACCCCGGGGTCTGGAAAGAGGTCCCCTTCTTTGCTGCAGCCCTGACTTCAGGCGCTCAGTTCTGCTTAGGCCTCTCTGAGGACCTGCCTCACATGGCTCATATCAACTTTTCCAAATCCATTTGCAGGCCGTCAGCTGGTTTCTTGGGCCAACCTCACCCTAGGTCTTTTACCCTCCTTCCTGGTGCACACCAGAGAACCCTTCATAGTGAAACGAGGTCCCGAGTCCTCCAGATTACCCTGGTGTCCCGGCCCAGACACCAGCCTCTTGTCAAGGTTCGCACAGCAGCCTCCTGTCTGCCATGCCTTCCCCGTCAGCCAGATGGCCAAGGAGAGGCGTGCAGTGGGGTCCCTCATGAATGGCCCAGTGCCTGATTCTCGCAGTCCCTTAGCTACACCAACTTTAACTTCTAAGTCTGACTCGATCCCTAAATTTCTTCTCATAGATACCTGGCTTATAGCAAGAACAGTGGGTATTATTAATTTCCTAATGAGTCCCAGGGCATGTTTGGGTTAATGAAGCAGCTTCAGGGACAGTGTAGGCTGGAAATTTGGGTGAGTGAGAAGACAGTTCTGAGATAAGGGCAGTGAATTTTAAGAAACCTTGGACGGGGTGGGGTAAAAAGAAAATCTAATAGCTGGGAAAATGGGCACATCTGCCTGGGGGAGTAGGGCCTCTTGGAGAAAGAGTCAATCACAAAGTAGGATGCTGAGGTGTCAGAATAGAGAAAAGGTTTGAATACCCCTAGACACAGGCCAACAAAAGGTTTTTTGCCCCTCACAAGCACAGTGTACCTGGGAGTCCTTGCTTTCAGTTTTAAATAAATTTACTTTCTTAAAGTTTGTTTCTCTGCTTATCTAAATTGTCTGCAAATCTTTTTCCCAGATTTGTGGCAAAAGAACCTGTGTTGGTTCAAGGGCTAAACTAACAATGCACACCAGCATCACTAATCTTAGGAGACCGATTTAGATGCCCCTTCCAGGAAGCCTTCTAAGATTTCCCCACCGCAGAAGGAACCTTGACCAGCTGGGCTCCCACAGCACAAGTGTATCATCCAGCCCCCCCATGTGCTGGGCATTACAAGGGGCTCTTCCATCCCAGCCAGGGGAAGGGTCTCATCCCATGACCGGAAAAGGCTCAGCTGGGGGCTGCTTCATCATGAATGAATAAGTGAATGAGCAAATGACCACCTGCCTTTGAAAAAAGTAGACTTTGTTGATACATCTGAGGGAAGGAACCGAGGTTCAAAGAGTGGGGAAAGAGCTGGAAATGACCCCCAAATTCCCTGATGTTCTAACCCAGTGCTCACTCTTCTTTGGCCCCCTCCTGCTCCTTCTTCCTCTCTTCCTCGTGCTGCTTCTCCAGCGGCCCACACTGATCCTAGAAGGTAGTGGGAGAAGGAAACACCATAGGTGGGAGGCGAGGGTCTGCTGGCAGGAGTGGACTCACCGCAGCACAGTGGCACTGGCCATCCAGGATGGCAGCCCAGGATTGGCTGCTTCCTTGCAGTGTGACCTGGAGTGAGTCGCTTTCCCTCTCTGAGCATCAGCTTCTTCACCTCCACAATGGGGGAGAAAGGCTGGCACTTCCTGAGCATGTAACTGCCAAGCATTTCGCCCTGTCTCCTGAATCCCTCACAACGTCCCCATTTTGCAGATGGTGCAACTGAGGGTTGGGGCAGCCACGTGGCCTGTCCTAGGCTCCCAGCCAGTAGGTGGAGGGGCAGGCTGCAGGCCAGGCGACCAACTCCAGGGCCTGGGTTCATAAGCCTTTCCAAGGGTTCCTGGGAGCAAGGAGATGAGGGGTGCCACGGCAGTCAAGGGAGATGACCTTAGGGGCAAAGCTGAGGAAGCTCTTCTCATTTTCATAATCATGAAGTACTTTCATGTAAGCGGAAACTGCTTATCATCGCTGTGATTTCAGAGTATTGCATCAAATAGCAGCAAGGAAATCCTTCCGCAGGTTTAAAGAAAGTGTTAAGGAGACGGTTACACAGTTGGGATGGTGACCTGGATTTGCTGCAGTTTGAAAACCCCCAGTATCCATTCTCTTGGTAGGAGTATGAGAAACCTGGGGGTGGCAGCAGTCATCAGTGAGAATTCCCTGTGTGAGTCTCTTCCCCAAATTCCCACTGCAGCTCCTTGGCTGTGCTGCCGCCTCTTGGTGGCCTCTCAACATTCCCCACCTCATCCAGCATTTTTCCTGATTCCCACTGCCTTCTCCCTCCTGGAGAGGCCCCCCCGTGGCCTCTGCGAATCTCAGCTCTCCCTGCAGCAAGGAGGCTGCTTCAGAGCAGGACATTGGTCTTGCTGTGCAGCCCTGGTGGCCAGCTTTCCTCTCTGGGCCTCTGGGGATGTCCAGGGCAGCACTGTCAGCGCTCCTTGCACTCACCTTTTTCTCATCAGTGAGTATCATCTCCGACTTGTGCATGCCCAAGCACTCCATGACTTCATGGAACTCATTCAGCTGCTCCTCACTCAACTGGGGCTTGTCAGCTGCAGGAAGGAGCAAGGGGCTGGCTGAGGTTGCAGGGATACTGGGGAGGGGGTACCAGGGAGGAGTGGGGTTTTGGGGGCCAAACCCCAGGAGGGGAAGATTAATGGTGCAAGGCCAGGGTGCGATGAGATCTTGGGGTACGTACAATAGATGGCAATTCCCATTTTCTGCTTGTCCTCTGGAAAGAAGGATAACATGAAGGTCCTGGGGTTCTTGCTGAGTAGTAGGTGGGCATGAACTTCTGTGTCATTTTCTGGAGGAGAAAACCTCTGGGTGAGATCGGGCCAGGGGTCAGTGTGGTTCATTTGTCACAGGCCAGGACACTGGGGGTGTCCAGGTTGACACAGACCCCATCGTTGAAGACCAGGACAAGATGGCCCAGCTCCTACAGCATGCCAGGCCTGTCCTGACCCTTTTGAGTAGTATGGATCCTCCCAGGGAGACCAGTTGTCAGGGCCCTCTGCCATCTACAGAGGAGGTGAGGCCCAGCAGGAGCCTGAGGCCTGCCAGTGGAGTCAGCATTCCTGTGCTCCCACTGGGTGCCCTCTGGTGGTGACAGTGGGGCTCGGTGAAGTCACCACCCTTAGCTCCCAAAGGGGAAAGCAGTTGAGAGACAGGCAGGTCTGGAGTCAGCCCTGGATTTGAGTCTGGCCCTAATTGCAGGTGTGTGGCACAGGGGAAACCACTTGAGGTCTCTGTTTCCCCAATTCCTCGTCGGATCACTGTAATGTTCTCCTAGGGCTGCAGGTGAGAATTCAGTGGGTTCATTGCTGTGAAGCATTTCAGCAGCGCCTGGCACACAGCGAGAGTTCAAAATGTGCAATTATTACTGACAGCTGTGTGCAGCATGGGCGTCTGTCCTGTGTTCTCTGTGCCTGAAGCCCTGTCCTGTGTCCTTGCTCCCCTCCTTTACACTGGTCCACCCTCCCTCTAACCAACCCTCCCCTCCCCCTGACCCTTACCTTTGGTGACCATTGTCCCATTCTTCCGGTGGACCAAAAAGTGAGTACTGATGTAAATGCAGCGGTCCCCACTAGACCAGACAGCCGGGGAGAAAAGCAGTAAGACAGTCAGGGAGAAGTCGACCATTACCCATCAGTTATTCGGGCAAGAGTCAGGTGGCCATAACAGTCATCCCTCCCCCTGCCATGGACGTGGAGGCCGAGACCAGGAAGAGGGAGGATCCACACAATCCAGCAACAGGGACAGGAAGCGGGGAGTGTGGGAGTCTTACACAGTCTGGTACGCTCTGAAATATATCTTGTCCTCCGTCTTGTTGGGGGCAAAGTAGAAGAAGTACGAGTCGATACTTTTAAGGGACTGATTGAACTCAGGGTGTCGTAAGATCGAAGCGATATAGAACCACTTGCCAGAGAGCTGGGGAGAAGCCAGGGGGGATGGAGGCTGGAGCTGAGTCCTGGATGCTCAGCTGCGGCGAATCTTGGGCTGATGTCCCTCCGTTTTCCAAACAGGAAGACAGGGCTCCAGGTGCGGAGGGACTATGCAAGAGCTCGCTCCATGCAACACCACCCACCCAGCCCGGTTGACCCCTCTGTGCTTAGCTCAGTGTTCCCTACTAAGAAATTGCAATGGGGCACTGACTTTGGGGGTCATGAATTGCCTCTAACTTCTACCTGGTGGATCAGAACTGCACCCCAGGACCCAGGAGAGGGCACGGACCATCACCAAATGGTGCGCAGGCACTCACCCAGTCCAAAGTGACATTGGTGATGGGCTTCGCCGTGAAGTTGGCACATTCTGGGCTCTGGGCACTCAGCAGAGGAAGGAGGCTCAGGACGGCGAGGGCCCAGGGCAGCGCCATGCTGATATGAGAGACACCTGCAGCTAGGCAGCACTGGCGGCTGGAGGGTGCAGGGACTTTTTTACAAAGCTGTGGGCGGGAACCTGACTGGAACACATTCCAGGGAGAGTTTGGAAAATACCTTGTAAAAACCTTTTCTCCTTCCCCCAAAATCCACATTCCAAGTGTAATTTGGACCCCTGACCCGGAGAGGTGTCTAGGGCACAAAGGTCTGTCTTTTCAGAGCCAAGGTGGGCGTGGACTGGAGGGTTTCAATTAACATGTCTGGATTTCAATCCAGGCGCTGCGAAGCAATTGTGCAGGTTTTCATCCACTTCCTGTTCCAAAGTACCCACACCTGAGCAGGTCGAGCCACCAATCAAAAGTTGAAGTCACCTTAGTTCCCAGGCCAGTGTGGTATCATGTGGGGTGTGGGGTAGGGGAGAGTTGGGAGGGTGAGGGCAAATATGGATTCTACTCCAACTTAGTGTGCAACAACCATGGAAGAGCCAAAGTTCAGCGGGGTCTCAGCTACCCCTGCAGGAAGGGACATTTCCGAAAGAGGAGAGCATCTCAGTTGAATGTCTATGTCTAGTAAATGTTATCACTGGAACCATCTCCCTACATCTAAACAGGACATTAAAACCTTGCATCGCCACCCCCAGCATGTGAGTGGGGAGCTTGTCTGTCTTCTTCCAATCCTGGAACAGTGTCCGGCACATGGTGGTATTCAGTAACTACTTAGAATCACTAATTCCACTGCCCGTTTGTATTTCTACAGCACAGGGGGAGGGTCAAATCTTTATGCATCCAAATAAATGCTTTCAGAACACATTTTCATGGCATGCTGACCATTGTGTAGTCTTATTTATTGCATCATGTTTTGAATAATTTCTCACGGTTCAGCCTAGTTGCTAGTTATCATTTTAATGGATTTGTAGCCTCTCATTCATGTCCAAAATTCTACCCTTCTTAATTCTTTCCTCTATAGCTTTTTATTTCACTTTTCCAGCTTTATTGAGATGCAGTTGTCTTCAGCGTTTTATACTGTGATAGCCCCCATTTGAAGTCTCATGCCAGAGAGTTACCACATTGCTTGTGAAAATTGTGAAGAGAAAGAAAAGTATATGTCTAACATAAGACTTGAGCGTTTTTCAAAATAGCAGAAACCTAGAAACCATTCAAATATCCATCCACCAATAGAAAAGGGGAAAGCATGTGGTGGTATTGCATTCAATGGAATATTACTGAGAAATGATACGGAATGAATGACAGATGCAGGTAATAACATGAATAAATAAATTAAAAACATGCTGAGCAGAAGTCAGTCTGCTCATACTATATGCGTCCATTTACATGAAGCAATAGAATAGTCCAAATTCATCCATAATGTAGAAATCATGTCAGAGGTTGCCTAGGGCGAGGAGAGCAATTTGACTGCAAAAGGTACAAAGGAACTTTCTGCAGTAGACGGCAATGTTCTATATTTTCTTTGTGATGGCATTCACACCTGTATGTCCATTGGTGAAGATTCAATGAACTGTAAACTTCAGATGTGCACATTTTATTTTATGCCTCAATGGATATGATTTTTAAAAAAAAATCTCTTTCCAAAACACACAAAACAGAACTTGACAAATCAATGATAATGATTTTTGAGGTTTCACAAATTTGCCAGTGTTCAAATAAGTCTCTACACATCCTTATCAACACTAGATTTCCCTCATTTTTTTCATTATTTTTGCAAGCTGCATTAGTTTTTGGATTCGTGTTCCTCTAACTTGATACTTGAAGAAATGATCAGGGCTTTTTTAGAGGAAAGATTGCAATTGAGCGAGAGGTGCAGGAAGGACCTGGAAGGTCTGTAGCTGGAGTGTGTGCTGGTGTCTGGGGTGACTGGAGCAACCCAGATTGAGGCTTAGAGGTTGGTGGAATTCAAGCCTGCAGAGCATGTGTGCCAGGCTGAAGAGTTGGCAGTGGACTCTGGGTGTATGAGGAGAAATGGGGAAGTTTAAAGAGGGTAGGAGGGGAAGCGTCTGCTTGGCTCCATGTCTACAGAGAGGATAAGAGCAGGTAGAAATAGGAGCATGGATTTGAGAGACAGATGGAAGCCCTTGCGTGCTCCTGGTGCAACCTGATCGGGGGTAGAGGTAGATCCAAGGCACTGTGTATGCAAGGAGAGGCTGAGGGTTGCGTGGTGACAGCGCCACCATTGTGCTGTGTAAAATGGGGATTGTGCTCAGAGCCCAGAGTTTGAGTAGGGATAGTTCCCTTTACCCCAACAACACACACACACAGTTTATTAAATAACACATAAGCACTTCTGCCACTTGGGATCTGGTGCTAAGTGACCCAAAACCTTAAACATGCTTTCTCACTGCCAACACCATTCAGACCCCTAGAGAACCACGTGTCACATCGTCCACTTTACCCCTGAAAAAACAAACCACTGTATCAAGTGTCCTGGGGCTCTGTGGGTTCCCTACCGCTGATACAGGAGGTGGACACTGTTTTAGAGGTCAGGGAGGATTTGGGGAGATTTAGAGGTAAGAGGAAAGACTAATGTCTCATCCTTCTCTCTCAACAGAGAAAACAAACTCTTGCGATATTAACCTTGTTTCACAATCATACCAAAAGTCCACTTTCTTACAACACAAGATTGGGGAGGGCTCCCCAGTTAGACATAGGCAGTGTTTGCCCGCATTACACATGATCGCTGAGGAACATTTTGGCCACTTAGTCATTCTGAGCACTCTAATGTGTAGGGAGGTAGATGGAAGACAGATCGGTAGACAGTCTTGACTCTTGACCTTGGCAGCTAGAGCTTGACTGCTCACATTAGGAAGGGTTTTCCATTTATGAAATATTTAAACAAGCTTGAATTCATTAAATAAATCTCCAGAACTAAAAATGTTCAAGTCGGCCTTATTTAAGTGCTTTTGATGGCCACCCCCTGGGTATTGAGCCCTGGTCTGTGGGCCTCCATTTGCTCGTGGGTAGAGATGCTAGGGGAGCCTGAGTGGGTCTAGGGCCAACCCAGAGCAGGACTCAACTTCTTTTGTCCAGAGCCTCTAGCTCTGGCCTAACCTGCAGGCCTCCAGAAGTGACCCTCACGGTATGTAGTGTGATTAGAAATATATTTGGGACCTCTCTGTGTCCAGAGAGCTGTCCTGTTGTTATCTGACAATAAACTTGTTATTATGTCTTTAAAAAAAAGAAAAAGAAATATGTTTGATCTCCAGTCCTTTCTTTTAAGAGTTATTTATTTATGCATACAAGAACTGGGGTACAGACCAGAGGTGTGGGGGGTGAGAGGATTCACTAAAGACAGAGTGGGGAACAGAACAGGCAGATTGACTGAAATACAGGAGAGCTCTGCTGAACCAAGAGGGTAGCTCCTTGACAGGGGATCAAACTCGTACTGTGGAGGCTGCAGATAGTTTCATAGTGCTGCATCTTAACCACTTGCGCCACCCGGGAGGCCTTGATCTCTGTTCTTGTTTGCCCACGCACAGCTACTAAAATCCTTTTGATCTCTACTTGTCTTTTTGTGTAGTAATGAGTCATAGGGCAAGCGCAGAGCCCTTAGGGTCAGAATGGAACAGGAAAAGCCTCAGAGGAGGAAGGAGGCTCCACAGATAAGGGCAACAAATTCCAAAGGAAACTAATCAAACACCCCAGGACTAGGGGCAACTGGACATTCTAGAACAAGGATGAGAAAGAAATGTATGCTAAGATAAGGGCTGGGACACAGACTTCATTCTGGGCACAGCGACATTAGGGCAGTGAGTGAGACTGCTGAGAACTAACCAATCACAAAGAGACTGGTGAAGCTTTAGAATAATTAGGGAAAGAAGGTCTACATTCCCTGAGACATGACTCCACTGGGCTCCCTTGCCCCTCCCTAGCCTGGTTCCACCAGCCTGGGAGTCCACTTTAGTTCTGTTCCCTTTCTACTTAATAAACTTTTTCTTGGGGCCTCCCTGGTGGCGCAAGGCATTAAGACACAACCTATGAAACTGTCCGCAGCCACTGCAACACAAGTTCGATCCCAGGCCAGCCAGGGAGCTACCCACATGGTACAGCAGACCTCTCCTGACTCTCCCGCTGCTCCCCTCAGCAGTGTACTTTCGTCAATCTGCCTGTTCTGTTCCCCACTTGGTCTCTGGTGAATCCTCTCACCCCCCACACCTCTGGCCTATCCCCCAGCTCTTGTATGCATAAATATATAAATCTTTAAAAAATAATAATATAATTTTTTTTTCCCCTCTAAACAAATCAGCCTCTTTTGACTTGCTTTCCTGAGTGTCTTCCAAGTTCCTGCTGCGGCTTTGTGAGACACCAACCAGCAGTGGTCGAGTGCCTGGGACTCGGCGCTGTCACTGCAGCCTGGGATCCATTCCTGGCTGGGAGACTAGGCCTGGAAACCTGAAATCACGTATCAGTAATGAGGTGACTGCTGGCCATGGAGGAGGCCAGTGCTTTGGGGCAGCCTCAGGTTGGGAACTGGTTACCAGGGGAACCCATCCTGTGATTACAGGGTTGCAACTTTCAGTCTCACCTCCAGACCTCTGGGGAGGGGAGAGGGATGGGAGGTTGATTCAATCATCAACAGCCAATGGTTTAACCAACCAGGCCTACTTAATGACGCCTCCATAAAAATCCTAAGTTCCAGGGTCCAGGTTGGGGACCATGTAGATGTGAGTGGGGAGGGACACACCTGGACAGGTTCTGGAGCCACCAGGGCCTTCCCACATACCGTGTCCTATTAGCCCCCGCCCTCCGCCATTTGACTGTTCCTGACCTGCATTGTTTTATAATAAACTGTTAATCTAGTAAGAAAACGGCTTTCCTGAGTTCTTTCAGTTGTCTAAACAAATGATAAAGCCTAAAGGATTGGGCACCTCTGATTTATAGCAGGTCAGTCAGAAGCACAAGTGACAAGCTGGACTTCATACTGATCTTGTTGGACTGAGCCCTCCCTTTGTGCGATCTGTGTTGTCTCCAGTTACTGTCAGAAC